CTTAACTCTAATCCTGACCGTGACCCTAGATACAGCATAACCCTGACCGTAAACTTAACCCTAGCACTAGCCCTAATCACCCCGCAAAGTATGCTAAATCCCCGAATAGGTGGTGGAAGGTTCTAGTCCCCGCGTCTTGCCGAAAGCTTATCCCTCCAGTTGATAGTATCTGTGCGATTTTGAATGTTCTTTTCCTTGTGAGCGGGGTAGGCACTGGATTTGAGCTAAATATTCGTCTGATTTAAACCGCGCGATGACAAGATTGGACACAGTGGCCGACGTTAAGCCAATCGGTCGTCTAAGGCGTGTTCTCCCCGTCTGGATAAAGTGCGACAGCACCACAAACCACTCTGAAAGCGGAGGGGAGGGGCAACCCATTCCGGACTACCAGAAGGAGGAGGTTCGCCTCAACTGCATCCATTTACCCAACCACAAACATCGCTCAGCTGTCCCACCGTGTGTTTTCTGAAATCTGCCTTGAAGAATTCCAGTTCCCGCAAAAATTTAAAATTTTCAGCCACGTGGAGGGAGGAAAGGTCCGCCGACAAATTGGGTTAATTAGGCCGTGACCCCAACGTGTCCGGAAGGCATGGCCAAGCCCACCAACCCACCTTGCTTATCAGCTTGCGCAAGTATTGAAGAATGATAGCGATAAGATGAGTGGGGGGAGGTAGGGAGAATGGCTGGGGGTATGTCTCGTTTCAGCCCACGGTGGGACACCCGTTGAGCCACCAGTTTCTATCAAATTACAGAGGTGGTGCCCAGTTGCGTCTCAAGTGACGCGGAAGAATCATCGAGTGCGCCTCCCCGATGGGTTGCGCCTGATTAATATGGTGTCTAAATACAGACTACCAGCCACCTCCCCAGACTATAAGTAATCCATCCCAAAGACGAGAACCTTGAAAATTTTCTGCTCCCCCCTCCCCTTTCATAGATGCTGGAGGGGAGGGGAGCGTAGGCAGCGATAGGGGGGCAAGGCTAACCAGCTCGGCGGTGATAATGCCTCTGGGAAGTCTCATGAGGTGGCGGTGAACTTTACCCATCTTCAGCGAACAGTGAAGGAGTTGTGATGTCACGTGCTAGTGTTGTCCCTCGTTTGAATCGGGAATAATGTAATGCTAGGTGACTACGGCCTCAGTCTCTGTCTTTACCGTCTTTGTCGTTAATATTATTCTGTCTATATATAAATAGAGAGAGGGAGGGAGCGAGGGAGAGGTGAGCACCCTTCTCCTATGGCATATATATAGTGGGAGATACGCGTACACCGATCTGTTCGAGGACACACTCGTCGGTCTATGGTGCCACTGGAACTCACACTCGAGTTTACAACGCAAGGCAGCTAACGGTATAGGCAGAAGGACATTACCGACAAATACAAGAGAGACTAGGCTGGCCATTTCTGGCTTTTTAGCCACCGTCAGCTAGTCATACCCAGACCCAATTGGTGTCAC